CTAGCTGCCTTATGTGTTTCTCATAACCGACGGCATTCACGTGGTGCCACGAGGATCTGGCTGCAAACCCCGGYCCCGCGGCCGCCTCTTGGCGTGTCCTGGCAGTGCGGAGCTTCTCCCCGCTGGAGCCTCCACCAGAGCAGTTTCAGTTGCRGCCTCGCTAACTGCTTGCACAAATACTTTCCACTTTCCTGCAGCAGTTTTCCCAGACACTAGCGGATTCCCAGCTCCCTTGGGCTTTTCATTCCCTCCGTGCCAGCTTTCCAGAAGTCAACAGCCTTGCTGCTTCTGACAGCTGAAACTCTGAAAAGCTCCCAGGCACTTGCATCACCTAATCCTATATGTGCTTCAGTGTGTGAGTCCTTTTGCACCCTGTCTCACGGAATGTCCTATGCACATCCCATGACCAGAGCTCGCCCTGCCACAAAGCTCCTGCAAAATGASCCTCTAGAAGCAGTTTTGGGAGGCAAAATCCCAATAGATGCCAGGATTGTAGAAGGGTTTTGTGCACCCTCTATGCATAGGGATGAATTTTGCTTCCCAACAACTGAGCGCTAGGGAGTAAATCCTCTCTGTTGGATCGTCGCAGGGTTATTTTTAGGGTTTAGGGTTAGAGCACAATAGCCTATATATGTGATACCTACCAGGTACGCAAAACAGCCGTCCTGCCCGCCTGCTTCTGATGTGAGAGATGCCTTGGAGCTGTACCCCCATTCTCCTTCTGCAATCCCTTTTAGATAGCACCGTCCTTCCCATATCACTGCCTGTCTGCATCGACTGGATCCGCTTCCTTTCTTCAAATGCCTTCAATCTTCAGGATGACGTGTTTGCTTTTATTGCTGTTTATGGCTGCTTTATTGCTCGCTTTATCAGCCAAGTTGCTGAGAAAGTTTGTTGGTAGAAATTCCTTTGCGTCCCCCAGCCGTGTTCCCACCCTCTCGACCGCCAGATTTCCTGCAGCGCTCCAATAAACCCAGTCTAGCTGGGATTTCAGATCAGTCGTGTGCTGGCTGGAGCAAAGGAAACAACTTAATAAAATGGGAACCACCTTGCTTTGCCCAAGTTACACGTCACGTCAGTCTAGGAGCTGGTGGCACAGTCAAGGCCAGTGGGTGCAGGAGCTGTTCAGAAAGGAGGGGTGATGTTCGTCTTGCCCTGGACTGTCCTGGAGAAGCCTAACACGATTGTGGATGAATGGGGAGCTCACCAAAAGCACTTTAGCAGCACATGGCATAACCAGCGCATATTATCATGCAATGAAGACTTTCTAAATCAGTGGTCTAGAAAATAACTAAATAAAAAGCAATTCTTCTAACTGTAGTGGAAAACGAAAATGGGGCAAATTTGAAGCCAAGTTATGGGCTGAAGAAAATTTGGAAGCATAAGAAGATCTGGATGGCTGCACTGGCTCAGCCCAAAAGTCCAGTGAGCCTCACATTCAAGCATGGATGGCCCCAATGGATAAAAGTGCAGGAAATGAGCACAAAAAGGGCTGGCCATGAATATCACGTTTTAAGGTGTTGGTYGTGTCATGACATAGTATCAGGTCCCAGGTAGGAAGGCTGGTTGATTCTYGGACACAGCTGGTAAATCCGGGCTTTGTTGAAGGTGGTGGGATTTTCTCCAGTGAATTCAGACCGACTCCATCAGTGATGATAACTGGCCTGGAGTTGAAAGGAAAATGTTGGATGAAGCTGTTCTGCAGCCGAGAAGGCCAAGTTGGCAAGACTAAAATATTTCATAAATTCATCTTGGTTTGGTTGAGGGGGAAAAAAAAAAAGTAGGTAAATGTCTCCAAGATGTTAAAACTCTTATTTTAGAAGCTTGCTATACATAAAAGTCTCCCCTTCTGATTTTTTTTTTTTTTTTTCCTGCTTGAAATGGCTTTTCAAATACTGACTCCAGGGGCTTTAGCAGGAAAGGTAAAAAGCCCTCCTAGGTTGACCCCATGTCCCTGCAGACCGCGGAGCAGAGCTGTCCCTCCCGCAGCTGGGACTGGTAGCTGCCTGGCACCGGCACCAGTGACCCGGCACAGCCGCCACGGACCCGGCTGCGACCCGGCTGAGACCCGGCGCGCTCATCGCGCCGCCGCCTGGCACGGTGCAAAGGGCACGGAGCTGGCAGCTCTGCAGCCGGGTCATGCTGTGACGGCAGGGAGCCTTCCCCATCCCCTCAGCTGCAAACGCTTACTTAGATAGCTATTTATCTCTGTGTCTATGTGCACTTATATATATATAAATATATATATATACACTCGTTTTTCAGGGGACAACTATATGTTCCCTTTTTGTCTAACACTCTATTAGTGTACTTGCATAAGCACAGTTATATATCTGACTGTGTCTGCTCTCATGCATGTCCTACTTGTTGGGCTCCTTCTTCATCTCGCTGCTCAGGAGTTTGCAGACAAGTTTATTCCCTTCTCTTCCACTTCCTGGTCTGTTCCCTGAGCTTTCAAGCCCCTGTCTGAAAGGATGTAGGAGCCCAAGGCAGCTCCTGCCCCTTCCCCTTTGCATTTCAAACCCTTGAGTGCTAATAGTTTCAATCGGCAGGGTGGGAAACAGGAAACAAGTCCCTAAAATACTGATGACGGAGCAAAGTCCTGAGGTTAAACAAGTTCATGCACAAGGACGCATATGGAAAAAATCTCATCTTTTTAGATAGATTGAAAACGCTGGGTTTAAGAGCAGTTAGAGACCCCGATGAAGAAAGCAGGGCTGGTGTGGGGCCTAAGTGCTCCYGGCCTCACCATGATCCATGGGCTTGTGGTGAATGATGAGCTCAGGGACCTGCTGGGAAGCCCTGCAGGCAATGCAGGGTTTCTATTCTTGCTCTGCTCTTCTCCRTTTGGTCTCCTGGATGTTTTGGGGATAGTGGGTCTTCTCTGCGCTGGATTACTATGAGATTAAATGAGTCTTGCAGGGTGTTTTGGTGGTGGTGCGAACGTGCCCGTGGAGGCGCCCGCTCTGCGCAGCTGCAGACACGTGGAGCAGCCTTCCCTCCGCCAGGCTCACACGAGCTCAAGCGGCGCCGAGGCCCTGCAGCCGCTGTGGATATCACATGTTCAGCAGATGTTTTTCCAAGACCCTGATCTGCTTTTCTCCATAAATAAATTAGAAAAAAAAATACAAAAAAAAAAGCAAGGAATACTGCCTGAGGAGCACTGGAACAATGCACTCTGCTCTTGTGCTGCCTCCACGTTTCCTAATCCCCAACTCGCAGCCAAAACAGGTTTCATCACCCTCGGGCTACTCCATTCCCTGATTTGAGTTTCAGATACTTCCCTCTCCCTGAAGGAAGCCGCCCTTGGCCCGGTTTGCAGAGCGGGAAGCGCGGAGCCAGCCAGCACGGAGCTCCCTGCTCAGGTGCAGCACCTGAACCCTTGGTGCTCCTTGGGTGTCCTGCACAGCTGCRTTTTGGGGGAAGTGGCAAAGCAAGCTGCAGCAGCCAGGATCTCCTTAGACCTACAATCCCCAAACATCAGATTGTCACTAAAAGCGAGCGAGATGGGACACCACAACCCTTCTTGTCTTGCATCTGCACTGTCSCAGCAGGGTAGTTCCTCCCACACTGCAAATCCCGGCAGCTCCCAACCCACGGAGGCAGCGGGGCTCAAATGACCTCATGAGGAAGGAACATTCCGCTGCTGCTCCAGATGTTTAAGTCCTTGGGGGGATTCTGGTCATGGGTGGCACGGGTCTGTGCTGTGGCAYGCAGGAGCCGGCTAGTGGCATGTGGCAGCGTGACATGGCAAGCGGCACAGAGGAAGGGCTGCTGCCTTCCGAAAAACAGATGGTGCATGTRTTCTTCTCCTGAGGGAAAAGCTGGTTGGAGCTTTTGAGGCTGCCCTGTGCAAACCTCCCACCCGGCACAGAGCCCAAAGCCCCGCTAGCAGGTTTGGCTCCGTGGCCTCGCAGGCAAGTACCAAAACAGGAGCCCTTGGAGAGAGGAGCCTGAGCATCAGCCTGGRCAAAGGCATGAGTTTGGGAAGAGGGGCCTGGGGTCCTCGTTTCAGCCTCTGGCCTCTATGTCCCCCCCGTAGTGCTGTGATTCCGCACTCGSTGGCCCGCTGCGTGCATGGGGCTCGTTTGTGGAGGGGCTGCGTGGAGCAGCCAAAGCCCCAGCTGCGGGGAACACGCTGCTGCTCACCAGAGGCTGCAGCCAAGTACACGGCTCTCCCTCTTTCTCCCAAGATTTACCCTTTTGGGGCTGGCTGCTGCATCGCCTTGTCCCTGCAACAACTCTGGACTGGTTTGGAAAGSGGTGAGCTGATGGGGAGGTCTCTTGGGGGGGTGCTGAGTGTTTCAATAGCTGTGGTCCAGGACGGAGCTGCAGCTGCCAGAGCGTGGCCACCCTTTCCTSTCTGTGACCGACCTCCTCCTGCATTTGGGAGAGTCCCACTTTGTGCCAAGCTGCTCAAGCTCTCTGAGGTTGTGCTGACGCGATCCCACCAACGCTGCGAGGCAGGAGCCACCTGCAAAGGTGTCACTTCACGGGGACACGTGGCCCTGCCCCTGTCCCGCCGGGCRCTGCAGAGGCCGCCGCGTCTCTTCCCTTCAGCGCAGCCGGCAGCTCCTTCCCGAAATCCCGCACGAGGCGGCAGAGCCCGCGCGGGTCCCGGGCCCGCCGCTACCCGGAGAGGCGCTTCCAGCGGGCGCGCAGGGAGGACGGGGCTGCGCGGGACGGGACGGGATGGACGGGGCGCGCACGCCGTGCAGGATGCGCGCTGGGGGCCGCGCTGCGCCCCGCGGGGCAGGAGCCGCCAGCAGCGGGTGACTCAGGGCCCTGCGCCAAAGCGGCGGCTCGGGGCCAGGGCTGGGGCCGCGGCCGGGGCCGCGTTTATAGGCGGAGCGGCGCGGGCGCCGCCGCCAGGACCCTCCCCGGGCGCACACGCAAGCGGGGCGTTGGTCCCGGTTAAAGGGGAAACTTGACAGCCCGCCGCCCGCTCCGCAACGCCCGCTCCGCTGCACTGCGCTGCGCCGCGCGCCGCCCGCTCCGCGCCTCGGCCCCGCGACGTGAGTACGGCCCGCYCGGCCCGGCCCGGCCCGCTTCGCTGCTCACCTCGAACCCGGGCTGCGGAAAGAGCGGGGCCCTCCCTGSCCCGGGGCAAGGGGGCTGGGGGAGTCCTCCCCTTTCCTCTCCCCACTCCACGCGCGAGTCCCGAAGGGAGCAGATGGAACTGGGGAGCCCCTCCGAAAGAGGGACCCATGGACCCCCCCCCCCAGTCCCCCGGGAGTCCCGATGGGAGCGGWTGGGATGGGGAAGCCCCTCCGAGGCAGAGCGCGCTGTAGAGCTGTCCTAGGGGAGAGGGGCCGGGGGAGCCACCCTCGGGGGGGTACCTAGGGAGGAGAACGGGGGAGCCCTCCGGAGAGATGGACCGGGAAGCGCCCCCGGGGCAGAGGGCTCCGGAGATCCCCTCTCCTTCCCCTCCCCCCGTCCTCCCCTCCCAAGGAAAAGTGGACGGAGGAGCCCTCGGGTAGAGGGGCCGAGGAAGCCGCGCTCTGGGGTTCCCGGGGGAGAGAGACAGCCCACCCCACTCAGGGAAGAGGGATCAGGGGAGGCCCCGGGGGAGTATCCGAGGAGAAAGGCCGGGACCCCCCCGTGCCCCATCGAGGGCACGGAGAGCCCCCCCCCCACACACCCAGCTCACTCGGCGCAGCGGGGCCGGCGGCGGCGCCGGGAGCTGCGCGCGGCTCCGCCCGCCCCCGCGCATCCCCCGGGCCCCGCGCCTTTACCGGGCCGGGCCGTACGCGCAGCGCCTCCTGCCGCCCCGCGCCCCCCGGCGCGGAAGCCCCCTCGCACACGCGGCCCGGGACGCTGAGCATCGCTGTCCCCCTCCAGCTCGGCCCCCGGCTACCGCCAAGATGCTGCTTTTGCTGCTGGGCATCATCGTGCTCCACGTCTCCGTGCTGGTCCTGCTCTTCGTTTCCACCATCGTCAGTGTGAGTACGAGCTTGGCAGTGCCTCCCTCGTGCCTGGGCAAGCTGGGGAGCAACTGAGGCGGGAGATGGCTTGGGAGGATCTAAAGATACTACGTTTTATTTTTGATGGTTGGTTTTTCCGCCTGGCTTTTAGCRGGAAACTTTCCTGCTAAAAGCCTGCTTTTCCTGCTTTCCTATTCTTACTAAMAGCGGGATTTGGGAGCATTTTGCACAACTCTCAGCATGGGGAACTGGTGGGGAACGCAGGCTGCAGCACTAGCTACTGAGTGCRTCCAGGTTAGCCTTTGAGTCCAGAGGAGCACGGCGCTTTTGAAACCAATCTCTTGCCCGTCCCCTCTTGCCACATTGTGGAGCAGATGCAAAATGGTTTCATTTGGGGTAAAACTAAGCTGGAAGATGCATTGCCACTTATTAAATGAGCTCCAAATGCTGACCGGGATCAGGCCAGAGGATACCTAGGTGGACRCCAGGTCCTCCGCCCCAGCTCCTTTGCTCTCCAGACCTGCTGCTTTGGGGCTGCGAACATTGGCACAGCTTTGGTCTCCTAAACTAGATGGTGGCTGCATGGGGGTCCCAGCAGCACCCACCGGCCAGAGCCCCGTGAACCTGTTGCCTTGGCTTGATTTGAACACAGAAGTTTTGCTTTGCTAGTATTTGAATCCCTCTCTCCTTTTTTTTTTTTTTTTTTCTGGGTAGCAGTAGAAACTTTTGCAAAAAAAGGGAGATGTTTTTGCAGACCGTTAGAGCCCACGTGGAAGCATTCAAACCACTCAGATGGCCAGGTCGGCCGCAGCGAGGGAGGGTGTCGGGGGGAGAGGAGCGGGCTTCCCCCGCAAGGCTTGGCCCATGTTTAAAGAGAATAAAGGGCTTCTGTTGGGAAGCCGTTGAGGGTGAAAGCAGCTAAAGGCAAATATTGGTATTTACACTCCAACCGCTTTATATATTTAATAAAAAAGCCCTGTGCTTGGGAAGACCCGTGGGGTACGGCGCACACAGAGAGTCCTGCGGCCGCGGGGGTCTCGGGCTGCGSGAGCTCACGGTGCTGCGTCTCTCTCGCAGCAATGGCTCGTGGGCACGGGGCACACGGCGGACCTGTGGCAGAACTGCACCACCGGCAGCATCTTCCACTGCGTGACGTCCTCCACGAACGGTGAGTGCCCCAACGCAGGCGGTGCAGGAGCCGGGGTGTTCCCTGGGGCCGGCTCCTGGTTGTGGATCCCCACCTGGAGCTGGTGCCTCCTCCATGGTCTCCTTGCTGCAGCTTCTGTCTCCCTGAGGCCCGCGGTCCCTGGTGTCACTGGTGCAGGGGATCCCGAGCGGACACGTGGGCTGCGCTGGGGAGCCTCTGAGGGCCACATGGGGCTCAGCCCGGGCAGGGGCGACACCCCAGGCTTTATTGCAGGGCAATAAATATTGCAGGGTGAGGTGCTGAGCGCAGCCAGCCTGAGCAGAGCCGCCCTGGCCCATGGTGCTGGGGGACGCCCTGCGTCCCAGGGGACGCCCAGCCCCTGTCTAGAAAGCGGTGCCGCGTGTGGCCGCGGTGACAGCCCATGACCCTGGCGCTGCCCTCCCGCCCTGGTTTGGTACCGCGCGCGGGACATGGCCGCGCTCCGTCACCGCTCCTCCCTTCCCAAGGACATGACTCAGAGGCTTTCTSTGCCGCGGCTTTCCCTTGCTTCCCCTGCCAGGCAGTGCCGGAGCATCCCAGCGCCACGTGGGACTGTGTCCCAGCCGTGCCGGGTCCCCCACCTGCAGGTTGCGGGTGGATGAAGAGCCCTGGTGTTTTCTGGGCTTTCTCGTGTGTCTGAAGGTGTTGGTGGGGATGGCGCAGCCTGCGCTGGGGCTCTCATCCGTGGGTTGGTGCCGGAGGAGCTGCTCCGTGCCCGGCTCTGCCCGGGCAGTCTGCAGCGCTGAGGGTCTCGTGTCACCCAGGGCGTCTCTCCATGCGTGATCATTTTGAAGGTCAGCAGGACGGGGTTTTCTACCACAGATCAAAAACATGGAGTTTTCTGGCCATTTAACACTGAGAGCAGCACTGGGTCTGCATAGAAAGCASCATTTCGCTCCTGCTCCTTTTGTAAGGAAAGAGCCTGCTGGAATGKCTGGAATTTGGCCAATGCACAAGGTGGAAGGTTGCTGATAGCAGAGGCAGCCGATGAGGTGCAGGATGCTCCGTTCGTTCGGGAGCAGTGRATGCCAAGGCAGGAGCAGGAGGGTGAGTGGGACCGGACTCAGAGTGCAGCAAGGGGGAGTGAGCGCGGGAGCGAGCGCRGCCAACCCAAAACACCCCGAGGACTCCTGGACGTGTTGAGAGCCTCCAGCACTGCCCCAGGAGGTTCCTTTGGCTCCAAACGCCGGCTGCCGGTATCAAAATGCCCACAAATACCCATGCAGGAGCAGAGCAAGGATGTCTCTTCTCCCTCTAGCTTTACGTCTGCTAAAAGCAGGGCCTGGGCTGGGCRCCGGGCGGGAGCCAGGCGGCTCCGCGGGTCTCTGCTGACGCCTGGTGGTGCCTGGGCTGCCTGCGAAGCTGCTCTGGATCCAGGTGCATTGGGTGGCTGTGGAAATTGTGCTCTTGGCCAGCACTTATCTAAATGCAGCCTCGGCTCCGGCATCTCCCGGGCTCTGCAGGGGGCAAAGGCGCTGCAGCCCATGACCTCTGCACCATGACAAGGTTGTGAGAGGTGCCCGTGTTTACCTGGCGCTGCCACAGCCCCTGGACAACCCCCGACAGTGCTGCGGAAACACAAAATAAGAAAATCCTTCCGAGATTTGTGCGAGGCTTTCCAATGTGCCTCTAAAACCAGCGAGAGAACTCCGGGTGACCTCCTCGCCAGGGAAGCATCCTCTGCATGATGCCACAACAGTTCACGTTCAAATCCCTTGCAAGCCGCAGGCCCYGTGCCCAGGATGGTGCAGAGTGATGACAAGCAGAGCACCCAGTGCCACCCAGTGCAAGAGATCCTCGCCGAGGGACTGGGCACAACGTGGGCTTTGCATCGTGGCAGGTTGTCTTCTGGTCATCGTAGSAGTTGTCACAATGGAGACGGTCTCTAGCATTTAAGTGCAGCAGGTTTGGACATCATCATCGGCACCGGATAGATGGTCTGGCAGGGTCTAGACCCTGGAGCGCGTGTGAGGGATGAGGGATCCCTGCCCCTGGCCAAGCAGGAGCGAGGAAGCGTCCTGCTGGGGGAGATGCCCTTTTTTATTGGAGATGCCTTCTTTTTTGGCTATTACAACTGCCTGCTGGTTGCTTGGATTTCTGCATTTACTTGCTGGATAATGACATTTTTCAGGAGGAGGAGAACTATGGAAAAAATGTCGCAATCTTTGCTTCATTTGCGCTGTGAGACATTCCTGGAAAAGACTTATCTCAAGAATTYGGCTCTGAATCCCACAGTTGCGCTTTTGCAGGGCTCGGAGCCAGGCTCTCGGCTGTGTCACTCCACGGAAGTCATGGATGCAGAAAGTCTAACCTGGGTAACTCAAGTGATCTTATATAGAGGCCATCAAAAATTTCCAGACAACTGTTTTTCTTTCAAAAAATGACTTTTCTCCAAACTGAGTTTTTTATTATGTTGTCAAGATTTTTTTCCTACCACCATTTCTTGGATTTTGATGCACCAAGTGCAGGAGGAAGTGAAGGGTATCTCTGCATCCTTACAGCCTCCTGCAACCTTGTGAAACATTTTTCCTATTTTCTTCTGAACATTTCTCGTATCACTGCTTTGAGACTTCTGCATGATAGATGGCTCAAAGGCAGCATGGTGTTTTTCGGAAGATAAGGTGTTTTATTTTTAAAGGGAAGAAGCTCCAAGCCTTGGGAAACGTGCAGAACGCCAGTGCCGTGATTACAAAGTGCTGCGGGCTGCGTGATGCTCTCGCAAATGTGCCCACGTGAGGGCTGCAAGGGAAGCCGGCGTGGGACCCCCAGCGTGGACATCTGCCCSCTTTGCTTTAATGGGGCTGGGGGTTGCTCGGGTGTTTTTGCATCCCAACTGCCCCTTCCTCGGGCTGCTTTGCTGGCCCTCCCTGCCTTGCTCTGTCTCTGCTTGGTGGCTTTGGACCAGCTGCAGCCACAAACACTTGCAGTAGGATCAATGTGAGACACCAGCCTGGAGCCCTCCCAAGCCTCTCCATCAATCCCACGTTTCTGCAGAAAGCATCACTTAAGGGAAAATCCCCCGCTGCGGTTAAGCACCAGCGGGACGTGCACTYGTGACAAGAGCTAACTGGAAGTGGTGGAAATCCTGCCTGGAAAATTGACAGGATRTGCTGGTGCTTGAGAGGCCTTTTCTGTGCACTGGGGGAAGCAAGAACTGCTTGCAGCCCTTGCCCAGCACGGGCACCCGTGCTCCGACCCGTCCCACATGGTCCCTCGAGGAGCTGCGCTGCCTTTGGTCCACTTCCAAAGGCAAAACAAAAGCATACGACTTAAATGCTTTGGTTGTATCAAGTGCCTTTGCTACCCTTGGTTCCTCAAACTCTCTTCTAGCAACGCTTCAATTCGCAGAACTTCTAGAAGGAAATTTTGGATACTCATTCATCAAATATATTCCAACTACAGATCCACTAAGTTTTTTTCTTTTTCCCTTATTTTGCTATTTAATGCTGAGAAATAGTGTGTGTAGGGGGAGAAAGATGGGATGGGTAAACAAACAGCTGTACTAGAGGAAGCAGTGAGCCTGGGCTCATGTTTCTCCTGCTGCGATTTAGGAGCCAGTCGCATGACAGTCAAATGTCTAGGGAAAGGGAGCTGTTCGTTTACTTCCTCTGAACGTGGACCCTAATATACCCTAAATCTCAGCAGGTGAGAGTCGTTAGCTCCCAGCATCATTGCTGCTTTACGTTGGGACCATGGAGATGGAGATGGCAGCCAGGATGGGCAGGTGTCGCCGGGTAAGGGTGACAGGGAAAGCTTTTTGCACAGGGTCTGCGGGCTGGTTGTAGGATGACCTAGACGCTGCTCTTTGTGGCCAAAACTGATGTTGCAAGGCTTTACTAACCATTCCCCTGGGAAAATTGTTTCTCCATATCTATTATGGATAGTGAGTATAAAATATCTGAATGAGAAGAAGAAGGGACAAGTTTCACAGTGGCCCACTGGAATAGAACCTGGAATAGAAAACAGGTCAGAACCTGGAAAGAAAACAGGTCAAGACTTGGGGAATGTGTTTGTCACTGGCAAGCGGAGACCTTCTTGAGCCAAATGGTGCAATGGAAGGGAGAGCCCAGGCCTCTCTGCAAAGCAGAAGCTCTATCGGAAGATTTAAAAATAGTTTTCACTATTTATTGAATGTAAGTGTAACCTTCCAGACGTTGTCTTGTGGCATCCGCAGGCGGAGAAGACTTTAAGGCTTTGGTTTTATTTCTGCTGAGTAGTTACAAATAAGCAAGGTTACTGCTCTTTAGGGATGTCACATTTGGTACAAGGAAACCCCGCAGGAAATAGCGGATAGCCTTTATATTTGATAATGTGCAGCCTCTGTGTTTGAGGCAGCAGCTACTAGCTAGTCGCATTCAGTCTATGGACCACATCTGAAGACACCTTGGTTAGATGACACTGTGGGCTCCTCTGGGTCTTTGGGCTTCCCAGCAGAGAGAAGGGACATACTCTGATCCCAGAAGTTTGGGATTCTAGAGTATCTGCTTTAAGATTAATGACAGGTAAGACTGGCCAACCATGGTCTGCATTGAACCCCGTCTGCCAGTTTGTGGGCGACTCTGCCGTGGCCTTTAGTTGACACAAAAATAACTGTCTTGCATCCTGGGAGAATGGTTTGTATTTTGGAATGGTCTCTGCCATAACTGCGTGGCCTACAATACGAAATGGATTTCATCAGCATAAAAAAAAAAAAAAAAGAAAGAAAGAAAAAAAAAAGTTGTTGTTGCCGGTTCTTGTTGCAAAGAGCATGTGATGTGGAGAGATTAGAGAGCAGGCTGTTTTTCCTGTTCTTGGCAGCTCGCTAGCTCTTCAGYTGCCGTTTTTGTGCATGCAGTGGGTCAGCCAGCCCTCCCCGCTCTGTTCGGCATTTTGGRTGATGTGGAAGAGGAGGAAAAAGAGGAAGAATACAACATACGGGAGAACTATAACTGTAAGCCCCATAAAACTGGGTGGCGGAGCCCACTGCAGAGTGCAGTGCCTGGAGACCCTTGACATAACATTTGTGGGCTTGGTTAGACTCATAGGTGTCCACTTCTCCATCTCCATCCTTGCAGTTGTCCTCCTGAGCTACCAGGTGGACTCACCTTCCCGAAAAGTTACCCTGCGTGTGTGTGACTTTGTAGGATCTCAGCCACAGCTTGCCCATTTTTGGTAGCAATATTCTGCTGTTCTTTCCTCTCTTTCAACTTCCGGCCCTCCGTGGACATGGAGGAGCTGCTCCTGCAGGAGACAAGAGCAGGAAAATAGTCCAATGCTCGGAGTGAGGGGTGCGACCTGCTATCCCATCACAGTCCAGTCGTCCCTGAGGGCAAAGGGACCAGCGTAAGGGTCGTGCTCCACTCTGAGGGGCTTGGAGAGGAGCCGGCTGGGACATTTTGGAGCTGWCACAAGGCGGTTTGTTGGTGCCAGCAGCTGCCTCCCCAGGACGTGGGCTTCAACATCCAAAGAGACCATTTCCGCGGCCTCACAGCTGAACCATAGAGATATGAAGTGGCAGCAATGTGAAGAGGACAGCRCCAGAACCATCTGAATCTGACAGCTCTGGAGTCCCCTGGACTTTGAGGACTCCTTTGATGTAGCTTGGAGGGCAAAAGGGAGGGGAGAGAGGAAGAARAGAGAGGGCTTTGGGGATCCCATCCCTTGCTGAAGGCGTTGGGAAGTCTCCTCAGACCCCTCACTTGGAGGTCTTTAAGGTGCAAGGCCAGGGTGCATGTGTTGTGAGGTCCATGGTGCCTCCTGGACAGGAGCTGCAGCAGCCTCTTCCTTTGGTGTCTCCCTGAGCTGCAGCTCTGGGGCCGTCCCAACTCCTCATCCCAGTGTCATACAAATGCCTCAGAGCTCTTTAAACCCCTCCTTTTCCCGAGACCTCCCACGGATACCTCCATCCAACACCCTGTGCATGGGAGAGCAGTGAGGAGGCAGCCGCTGAGCATAAAACCTCTGTAGTCCTAGCTGTGCTGGTGGGAGCTTGGGACCGAGCGGGAGGGAAGTTACCGTCCACCAGAGCTGGCCTTTTCCCAGGAAAACCTGCAGACAACTTGGCAGCCTGTCTGGATGACGCTGTTCCCCTAAGAGTGCAAGCGGAGGTTTGCTCCGAAGCGAGAGGACGTGGCTGGTGGCAGCGGTGGCAATAGCACCGCGGCTCTCTGAGCCAGTATGATGGGCTGCCAAGGGGCAACGCTTGAGACCAGCTGCAGAAAAGTGCAACTGAGTTGGGGTTTCTATATATGTGATTTACCCATCTGCAGCTCAGTTAAGGGGGTTGGACAGCCAGGCTTAAATCCATTTAGGTCCCTGCAGTTCCCACTTGGCCTAGGAGGGATGCTGGGCTCCATTTGGCTTCATGATCAGGTCTTAAAGCCTGAGAGTTGGCTTTGGAGACGCTCTGCTTGGGAGACATCTCTTCAGGGCGCGCTTGGCTAGTGAGTGCACGTGTTTTTCTGGGCTCTGCTGATGTTCTTTGGCTCGCAGCATTGAAAGAGCAGGTTTTGCTTTGCACACATTGCCAGGAATTTCCCCTCGGATTAGTCGTGTACGAATTATATACGAGAGCCTCTTTAGTGGATGTTATCTCCCCTGGCAGGGGTCAGATATTGAGGGTGCAGCACGCGTGYAGTTTTCAAAGGGAACAATGCCTGTGCAAGATGGTGTTATAGGCTGCACGTGACAGCCTATAGACAGATGTTTTATCACTTAAAACTAATTCAGTCCTGCGCAGTGTGCATTAGTGGAAACTCATGGCTCAAATCAGTCTCTCTGCACTGTAGATAATTTCCCCTCTGGTTAAAACCAATATAAGATGTCCATGATCACGCAGCAAACTCGGTCCTGGGAAGCCAATGCCTGTTCTTTAAGCCGATGCTTGCTCCTGACTAAGAGCTCCTCCCTGCCTGCCCCATGCCCTTGATCTSACTCAGCTGCAGCCCTCGCTGGGGTATAAAACCTCCCTGTTTTGGTGGGARGTGCTGGGTTGGTTGTTTTCTTTTTTTTCTTGGGGATGTGGCTGTGATCCTGCTCTAGGTTTCTCATTAGGCTTTAGGGCAGTGAAATGTGGTTGTTGTCGCCTTGGGTGGTGGGAGGACTTTGAGGTGTGCTTGGTGTCTTTGCTGTGAGGGTGTGAGTGGTGATGTGTGTCAGGACTTATGCAGCTTGGGGAAAGTCTAGCTGTTTCTCCCCTAAAATCTTCCTCCAAAATTTCTGACTGAAAAGGCTCTGAAAAAGCTCCAGCTGGAGCCTCTAAGGGAGCATTGCATGGGATTTATCTGCTCTTTGCACCCCATTTCCTMTCTTCCTCCTCCTGAAGAGCAGTGTTGCTAACAGGGACCCCAATAGATGCTGCAGGGAAGTGGAGTAAGTAGCTTGCTGCCTGGGGGAAACTGCAAATAACAGTCTGAGAGCAAAACCAGTGTTGGTGGCTACAGCACAGCTTGCAGGGTCTGGACCTCCCTCTGGGAAATGTGTTTTATTTCTTTCTAAAAGCCAGTATGTGCTAATGCCAAAGAGGTACATAGGGTTGAAGAGGCAGCAGTGCTCCCTGCACCTGTGGCAGAGATCTCAGGTGAATTAAAGGCAGTGTGGTCTCCTTGTGCAGCTGGACCTGGATGCCCTGATGAGAGGGCATCGGCTTGCTGCACCTGTGGGTTTCAAAGCCATGACRTGAGATGGGAATCAAGGCCCTTCTTACACGAAAGAGGCTGCTGAATGTCAGCAAGGGCTGTCAGGCTGCACGGCYGGAGATCTGCTCTGGTATTATCTCTTAATTGCCCCTTTGGAGCCCTGCAGCTGCTGTGGCCYGGCCGGATGGTGAAGCCCTTCCAGGCACCATCTCTTCCTCTTGCTCTCAGTGGCTGCCTTTATGCTTCTCCGTCATGGCTCTTTATTGCAATGGGAATTTGCTGTAGCTGGATGAAGCATTCGCTTTCAGGAGCAAAGCGGAGGCCCGGGGAGGTGGATGCAATTAAAAGACCAGCTCAGCTCYGTTTTCCATCTAGATGGCCGACTCTTAAAATAGTCTCACAATTGGAGCGCCCGCCTCCGGGGGCAGCAAGGGAGCCACCGTGAGCCCTCCTGGCYGGATCCCGTGGCCTGGGAGATCACAAAAGACTTGGATTCCCGAGTCCTGAATCAATGCAGCAACAGAGAAGCTGACAATTTAGTGGCTGTGCCAGGTACCCTCTAACAATCCCCTTCCCACAAGATCTGAGCATCAAGGAGGGAAATAAATGCTTTATCATTTGCTTTTTTTATTATTTTATTTAATATTTTTTTTTAAGCAGCACTCAAGCTGTCTCTGCTCCGTTTCCAGGTGGGTTAGCAGGGTCAGAGAATGGAAGGGTTTGGCATGGCTCAAGGTCTGGCTTATATGAGATAGGTGAAACCAGCCTGCAGCGGTGTTTACTGGAAGGAGTCACAGCAGCAGCTCCCACATGAGGAAGAGCAGCAGATGACGTGCACGGACACGACCCTGGGGGGATTGCAAAGGGTGAAATGCAGCAGCTCTTTAGCAGGACATGCTAGCACTGCGGGGCAAGGAGGGGAGGCAGAAAGCTGCCTGCAATGAGCAGGGACCTCGCTCGTTGTTCTCTCTCCACTGATGTGAGCAGGACCTGGATCTCTGCTGTTTCATGGACRAAAGGAGGTGGGAGTGTGGCTCCCTATGAGCACGGATTTGCTCTCCGCTCTCAGAGCTGCTCTGAGGTCAGGTCYGGGGCGTGTGGTCTGTGTTGGTCTGCTTGAAGGATAGAGACGAACYTCTGAACGTGAGGTTGTGCTTCAGGAAGCTTTGGTGCTGCAGCAGCCTCCCGTGTCTGAGGGTCCAGCCCACATTGTGCATCCCCATCCCTGCCTCCAGACCRTAATGACTATTCCTGCCTGACTTCCCTGGTCGATTATCTCATATGGCATCTTCAAAGGCCTCTGGAGAGGTGCAGGAGTGCTGAGAGCATCTCAAGCTTCACGAGGAAACGCAGTGCTATTCGCTAGCGCGGTCCTGTGCTGGTGGCGTGAGGCACTGCCTCTGTACAACCGCAGTAGACTGGCATTTTGCTTGTTTATGTTTTTATATATTTTTTATTTTTTTAAACGTGGTGAGTTACACACCCAGGAGGCCTGGAAATAGCTGGGCCGTGACTCATGGCGGGCTGGTGCAGCTGGTCTGCTCTGTGCTGCAGCTAAGTTTGGCAGCGGGCAAAGCCTCTTTCCCGAAGGCCGGAGCCCGCGGGGGCAGGCGGGGTTTGTGCCTCAACGTGGTTATTCCAGCTCCGAGCGTGCCTGGCTCGGTGTCCCGGGCCTTATTGCATGTGTTTTGGTAGAGCTGGACAACCAGCCCTGAACCGACACTGGTGGGGAGGGAACGGGTACTTTGTCCTCATCTCTGCAGGCTTTGCCTTGGTGCTGGTATCTCCTTATGGGCCCAGTATTGTGAATGCTCACTGATAAAGTGTGTGTCCCCTGCTATCAGGGGATGTGATTCCCAGTCCCTGGTACCCACCATCACTGAACTGTCCCCTCTCTCCTTTTTTTCTCTCTCCCAGAATGGCTGCAGTCTGTCCAGGCGATGATGATCCTCTCCATCATCTTCAGCGTCTTGTCCTTATTCCTGTTCTTCTGCCAGCTCTTTACGCTCACCAAGGGAGGACGATTTTACGTTACTGGAATCTTCCAAATCCTTGCTGGTAAGTGGGAATGAATAAGCAGATGCTGACTCTGAGGTGGTGCAGGGAACGTGCTGTTGAGYGGAGAAGGAGGACTAATAGTGAAAACAAGCATGCTCCGAATGCCGAAGCAGGTCCAGCTTGGTTCCTACTTGATTGCTGCTGATGTGGGATGGTGCAAACGGCAAGCTGTGGAGRTGAGCTGGCTTTTCCCGGGAATAGGAAAGATGCTTATCTGGCACCTATATGGCTCAGTTGATAAGGAGTAGGTATGAAAAATTTGTCTCTCACTGAGCGCTTGGATGYCCAGAGCTCATTGTCAGCTTTTGGTGTGCATTGCATGTTCCCTGAGCTCCAATGGGCCACATCCCCAGAAGATGGGAGGCCACCGCATCCCCACCAGTTCCAGTGCTGTGGGACTTCTGGAGCTGGGTCATCACCCTCCCAGTGGTGACATCTTGGGACATCTCAGTGTCCTCAGGATCCACCTTTTGCTGAGGTGGGTGTTGAGGTTCCCTGGTTGATGATGGGCTGGGGGAAGCTTTTGGCAAAACAGGACCCCATGGCTATTTCTAAACTTGCTGTTGGGTGCCTGGTGCTTCCCACTGCCGCTAAGAGCCCCTCCAGCAGGCAGGCTGAGCTGGCTCTCTCTGAACTTTCAGCTACTATTTTTAACCCTTGAAGAGCCCAGCGGTGGAAATGAGCCACTGCTCAAGTCATTCGTTGCAGTTCTCCAAACAGAAATGCTGTAAAGCATGGGTTTGTTTGGAGTTCACGTGCATGAAACCAGTGATGAGGATTTCCAAGTGTTAAGACTTAAACTAACGTGAATACACTTGAGTTAAATGTTCTTCCCCCCAGAAATAGCTCTCTGAGGAGATGCTCACTAACTGGAGCTTTACATGCCAAGCTGATCCCAAACCACCCTTGGTCCTGCCTTGGTTTGGCAAAAATCATCTGCTGAGCTTTAGAGAAAGCTCCTGAGCATCCTGTAAGCATCTGGCCAGTTTATAGATTAAAAATCCTGCAAAACTATTAATGATTATGGCATGAAAAACATTGTGAATGTAGATACATGGCCATAAGGTGTGTGCTGAGATAATACCAGTTTACCATATCTGGAAAGCTAAATATTTAGAAACCCTTTACAGCTSTGGAGGCAAGGAGAGGAAACGGACACTGATAATGCGTTTATTAGAGTGAGATCTTGTGTAGCAGACCCGGGAGCAGGAGGCTGCTCCAGGAGCAGAGCCACCCTGCCCTCAGGCTGCGGCATGGAGATGTACAGCCTCCAAAGCGGTGCATTCCCTCACYGATTTCACTCGGAGGGAGTTTCCGAAATGATGAGTTTCTTTGGGGAAAAAAATGGGAGAGAGAGACCTTGAACTGAACCATGAAGACTGAACTGCTTTAAAACACGGCTGGAGCAGGACTGAGCTTGGCAAAGCTGCATGTGCTGCTCAGCTCAACCCTTGAAGCTGCAGTGCATYGGTGCTTGCATCAGTGCAAGCAGCCGAATGCAGCTGCCCTTGACGTCCTTGTGTCCCTTTCCGAGCCTGCTCCCCCGGATCCCTCACTCTGCAGCCCAGGAGTGCCGCCGTGGCCTCCGTGTCACCGAATTCCTCCCGCGGACAATCGGGGCTGTATTTCCCGCTGTCTGTAGGTGCTGCTGGCACGGCCGCGAGCCTGTGCTCGGTCCCACCGGCGCCGGGGACAATAGTTTTGCTTTCTGTGCATGGGCYGGGGCCGTGGGAGTCCGCTCGCGTGCTCAGAGAATGGAAACTGCCTCGGCGGCGCGTTAATGAAGCGTGTTCCCACTCCTGCACTTTTGCCGAACAAAGGGGCAGTGTCAAGTGGAATTAGGGCTCAAATATCACTGGGGAAATGTAGGTGGGCCTGAGGTCTGCGCAGGGGATTTGGAGCATGGCGCTGACAACGGCCCAGTGCCCGCAGAATAGAATCGCTGGGATTGACTGAAAGACCTTGTTTTTCAGGGAGAAATAGTGGGTGCTTTGTGTTAGCTCTAGGCAGACGCTGGTGCTGATGGGCCGCTTTAGCAACAAAGCTAAAGTGCTGGCTACAGCACCCAGCTGGCCGCATGTCAGGTACCCGCGCATCCTTCTGAAAAATGCTGGTGTGCTGGGGTGGATTGGAGCGCAAATGCCGGGGCGGGATCCGCTGGGAAATGTGGGGCTCAACTGACAGCTCCTCCCTGTACCTTGGACCACAGTTGGGTTTTGGGGAGCCCTCCCAGGGAGCAGCTGTGACTGCCTGGTGCTGGGCACCTCCAGCATCCCGTCTTAGCCCAGAGGATGTTCCTGCTGCGCCTCCTCCAGCACTCGTGCCCTTGCTTGCTCCGAGCTGTAGGTGGGGAAGCCCCATCGCAGCCAGCATGGTGTGGGATACCCCAAAATGCTCCGCAGCAGTTGGGCAGGAGGGAAAATAAGAGGAGGGAGTGGAAAGTGCAGCGTTCTCCCTGCGGGTGTTGGGTGTGAGGGTCTCCAGCGTGCTGGGTGTTACGTGGCCATGTGGTCTCCAGCGTGCTGGTGTTACGGGGCCAGCCTGGCTCACATCTCGGCCCCGTTTCCCCGCAGGGCTCTGCGTGATGAGCGGCGCGGCCATCTTCAYGGTGCGGCACACGGACTGGCATCCGCCCGCGGCTGACGTCTCCTTCGGCTTCGCCTACATCCTGGCCTGGGTGGCCTTCCCGCTGGCCCTCATCAGCGGCGTCATCTACGTCATCCTACGGAAGCGCGAGTGAGCCCGCGGCGGGGCCGCGCGCGGCCACTCCTGGCGTCCGCGGAGGGGACGGAGGCGGGGGAAAAGAGACGAGAAAACGGAATAGAAAATTAACCAAAAAACCCCAAAAACACCCACAGAGAAAAGGAATAAACCCTCCCACCAACACCCAACCCCAAAAGGAAACACGCAAAGGGTTACTTGTTAATTGAAGATGTATATAGTATCTATGGTTTAAAAAACCTATTTATAACACTTTTTACATATATGTACATAGTATTGTTTGCTTTTGTTGACCATATGCTATGTTTTAAAGCCTAAAGAAAGTGCCTGAAGAACTATTACTCCTAACAGTGTAACACCAGCGCGGTGGTTTTCTTTCATGCAAAATCTGCTTTGACCTGGTCCTTCTTTCCCAGCCCTAAATGAATCCTTAGGAGAGAGGAAAAAAGAAAAAAGAGGGGAAAAAAAAAAAAAAGAGCCCTGCCTGCTTTTAGGTTGGCCTGAATCAGTGCTGCTCCCCTGACCAGGGCGGCCTCGCGCCGGCTGGAGGGCCGTCCCGCTGCGCGCGGTGCGGCGATCCTCCCAGCCGCAGCGCGTGCACAGGTATGATGGGAGACGCTTCCCGGAGGTGCCAGGGCTTCTGGAGCGCCACCTTCACTTGTCCCAAGTGCCTAAATGACTCGTGTGCCTGAGCGCCCTGGCCTCGCCATCACACCCCCGTGGGAATTTGGGCTCCCGACTCACTTAGGTGCCGGCCGCGCTGCTCGGGGCCGGTCCGTGCCGGGCCGCTCCGGCGGGTCCCCGGCCCAAGCGCTGGGATGCTCGTGACCTYGGCGTGGGCTTTGGCCTTGCCGCCCGGATAAGCTGCCGATGGGATGGACGCCACCCCGGCGTAGCTACGGAATCCAATACCAGATATACGAAATGGTGCTATCTATTTACCATTCCTTATACTGCTAGCCATTTAACCTTATTCACTGGAAATTCAGTTAACAACCTGGCAGTAAACACGACGCTAGAACCGTGAAATAATTCTGTGTAATATAAGTGACCTATAACTGCTTTTTGTACTTAGATGACTTGCTCTTGCTGTTATTTTTAATAAAGCATTTATAACCAAGGTCCCCGTTTTCCTCCCCTGTGGTCGAGAGGAGCAGAACCGGCTCCGGGGGGTGCCCCGCGGGTCTCCGCTGCCGGAGCGGGATGTCTGTCCCCTTTTTCTGTGCGTCCCGGACGGGTCTGGCAATGACTCGAGCGGGCGGCCTCCCGCAGCCTCCCCGGGCTGCCTTCTGAGGACTCCAGGCACCGCATTCCTCTTGTTTCTGTGTCATTGTTGGGTTTTTTTTTGTTTTTTTTTTTGGCTTTGCTTTTCTGATTTTATACCGACTGTGTGGACTAAGAAGCAATGAATAAAAAAGTCAGAATAACTCAGTGGCTGCTTCTTTTTGATTCACTGATTGCAGGCTGGTTTGAGGCTGCGCGCTGCAAGTCTGCTCAGGCGAGCTTCCCATCTGCGGCCTTCAGGGCTTGAATCGGTGCATTTCGGGTGGAATTTGGGTGGAATTTGTCCATCCTGATGGACAGGTGCTGAGTAGGCAGCCCRATCACTTATGCCACAGCAGGAGCAGCTCCGAGCCTGTTCTTCCCACTAGTTTGGGAACATTTGGAGACCTTTGGTGAGCCACTCCATAGCACTAGGTAGAGACCTGAGAGCAAAGGGAGCTGGGCTTGGTGTTGGGGCTCCATGCGGGTTGTGTGTCCCACAATATCCCCAAAGYTGTGCATTTTATCCCTGCATCAGCTGAATGTAGTGAAAACCTTGGAGAGGCACCAGCGCTTGTGGCTGGATYGGGAGCGGAGCTCTGGGCCCTGTGTGATTCCCTTTCCTTGCAYGGCTCTGGGATGCTGCCATGAGGCTGTCCGGACCCTGAGGGTGCGATTAAGGAGGCCGAGGGGCTGGCACCATGCGGGCAGGTTGTGCAGCCGTGGTGGCTGGCACGGAAGCGCTTGTGCTTCCCCCTGCTCCATCATTTGTCTCCAACACGTCTGAGCTTCCCCCAGCACCTGGCCCTGGCACCGCTCGGAGACTCTTGCAGGGCCACATGCTGAGACCGCTTATTAACGCTGGCCTGATCCAAGGCCTGTGCCCAAATGTGTGCTCCCRGCACAGTGCTTGGGAGGACATCCCACTGCGGTCACCACCCCGGTGATGGTTGGAGGCGAGGAACCGCAGCTGAACCACCCTGCAGCACCGAGCCGAGTGGGATGTTTTCCTGCACCCATGCCGGCTCCTGCATCCTGCATCCTGTGGTTTCCCAAAGGGAGCATTCCCCTCCACGCTCACTAAGGGCATCTTGCCGACCTCCCGCTGAGCCTGGGAGGCTACGTCTCGCTCACAGGGCAGGACTCCAAGTCTGTGGAGAGCAAAGGCACGTAGGGAGCGCCYGGAGCGGAGCCAAGCGTCCAGCCCCGCGTCCCGCTGCAGCCTCGGCCTCGCTTGTGACCAGAGGAACACAAATGTCTCAACTAAACTTTTCCAAGCAWGGGGCAGGAGCATGGGGTGGGAAATACTGTGGGTTTTTTTTTCCTTCTATTTTTCAAAACAAAAAATAAAAGAGGCTGACTGCTGCATTTTTGGTGTGGAGTGCTGCCCCCTCCGCAGCCTCCCCAGGTGACGGCAGCCAACGTGCAAGCTGAGCGAGCGGCATTGGCTCCAGCAACGTTTCAGCCACACGTAATTGCTTCATCTCAGGGAAGTTTGTCCAGAGAAAGGAAAACAAAATGTGGATTGAAGTGGAAACAAAGCGAAGGTTTGGATCTCCCCTGGAAAGGGCAATTCCAGGCTCTCTGGGGAGAGAGTCCAAAGGGGAAATTTCCAGGTATTTTCACTGGACCAAATGCTTCCCCTCACCAAACCATCCAGTGGACTAATCACTGTAGAGTGGGAAATGCCCTCTCCTATTGCTCTGGTACCAACTGTGTTTTTAAACACGCTACATACCTCAGGAGCCACCYGGGGACTGAGCTAGTGGGTGAGACTTGGATGCTACGGCTGGTCCCTCTGCAAAGGGCCCTTTCACAGCATGGGGGTGGCCTCGGATGGTCTCCTTGAACCTTCCTCCTTTTCCGTCACGCTGGGTCACTTTGGTGCTTTGGCAGACACTGTCAGGGCACACTAGGGGAGCTGGGTCCGTGCTGCTTTGCTCTCCTGCTGCTGGCATGGCTGGGAGGACCTGAAGCTTCGTTTTGGAGCGGCGGGGACCGAGTGCTGACAGCAGCACCAAAGGCCTTAAAATGCCCTTGGTGCACGCGAGCGAGCTGTGCATTTGGCACGGCGGTCCCCTCCTTGCAAGGCGGGCATCGCCGACCCCGGTGCCGGGGATGACAGCCCCAGGGCGGCGGGTCCTGCGGGACGGGGACACCAGGGACACCCTCCTCCCCGTCCCGCCACGAGCCCCGGTCTCAAATTASGATTTGGGGCTTTTTKTTTGTTGTTGTTTATTTGTTTGTTTTAAGCCTGGAGCGTAGCGCTGGGTTTGTCTGCTTCCCCCGGGGCCAAGAGCATCAGGCACTGAGCGTGTAGGGTCCTGTGTCRCTGTCCTGTGGTCAGTGACATGAAGGGCTGCCCCTGCCAGGCAGATCCTCCCGCCGGCCAGAGCACGGATGGGACCTGTCACGGTTGGGAGCTGCTGGGTAAAGCACCCGAAGTGACTCGGAAATGCTGGGAGCTCCAGAGGGCTGTAGTAACATCTCCTGCWGGGAGTGGGACCATCTCCGACCCAATATTGAGGTAGGTTTTGTATGTGGAGCCYTGAAAACCTTTCAGTATGGAGAATCCCTGATATCCCTGGGCAGCCTCTTAACCTCCTAGCGAAAAACCCTTTCCCTTAGAGACCATACCAGACCTGAATTCACCCTTTATTACATCCAAAGTCCATGGAGACAGTGCTCCAAACCTCAGCTTGCCTCCATGATGGAGCTGGAGACGCCAGTGCCCAGGGTGGGGAACTTTCCTCGAAGGGCAGCAGAGAGCAGGAGCAAGCGCCGCGGGGTCCCTGCATGGGGGAGGCCACAGTGGATCCCTGGCCACATCCAGCTGCATGCACGGGTTATCAGTTGTGTTCCGAGCCCAATTCCCTGCGCGCTGCTCGCTCCCAGCTCGCGAGATGACAGAAGGCATTAAGGCAGGAGGCAGCGTTTGTGGGAAGCGTGTTCCGAGCTGTGTGGAACTCGGGAGTTTTGGTGCACCCTGGGGCTACAGCCCAATTAAGGCTGAGGAAGCCAATAAAACAGCTAGCAGAACAGCAGCAATATGGGGAGCAGTGGCAAAGAGGGCTTGAAAAAATACTAGGCAAGTTTCTTTAATGTGTGTTGCATCATAAAAGTAATTGTTTAAATGGTTTTTCTACTGCTCTCAGCAGTAAATACATCAGGGAARATGCGCTAAGGAAATCTCATCCTCCTCTTTCATTTACTGCCTTGTAAATTGAAAAAATTATAGAAGGAATAGAAACACCCGAGGTTTCAGAGCAGCTATTTCGCGTGCAGCCCTGTGCTCCCCACTCAGCCCGCTGTGAGTCCTGGYTGCTGCCGGATGGTGGCACTTCCGAGCTGCGCCTCGTCCTGCAGCCTGGATGCAACGGGAAAGGAGCCCCCTTGGAGCCACCATGGGAGATACGGCCAGTGCATGATCCAGCTCTAAAACCAGGCCAGGCAGGAGCAGCTCAACCTCAAGACTGGTTGGTCAAGCACCAGGTTTTCCATCACCCTGTCCTGCAAGAGCTGAGCACGTGGAGKGTGATGGGTCTGGGTTTGGCCACGCTGGAGCTCCAAGGGAGAACTTGCCCTTCTTACTAAGGGCAATGGCTGCGGTGTTAATTTGGACTCCTCTCAACAGCAAAGCTCCTTCACAAGGTGCCCGGACAGGGCACATTGGCCACTGGTGCCCTTTGACTGCCTTTGCAAACTCCTCTTTCTTCTTGCACCAGCATGGTCTTTGCACTTATAAATGAAGTGTGTGTTAGTGTGTTCATCTCACTCTGTTCAGCCTTTAAAAAATCCAGGTATTTTCATCATCACTAAGTTCCAGATAACCAGTGAATTCTGGTTTGATTTTTGTCGGACAGTGTTGTATCAGTTCAGGCTGGGAAGGCTTCCTCCGAGACTATAGTGGCTGTTGGAGGAAAGAAGAGACCATGATCTGTCTAAATCAGGAAATCAGATCATGCTAGTGTGTCTCAGAGAGGGAGTGCTTAGCCTAGGCACATCAAGAGGAACCATGAGGGAGGCAGAACCGCTCTTTGCAGTTGAACCAGGCTCTTGGAGATATCTCAAGGTCACCTTAAGATGGCCTGTTCATCCCCTTGGCTGGTGCCTGTTCATGGCTAAGGAAGACACACGAAGCAAATGCAGCGTTTGAGGCTGTACGTCCATGTCATGAGCCAGTAGCTCGTGGCGAGTGTAAGACATGCTGCATGACAAACTCCAGTCAATTAGCAAAGTGGCAAAGTTTCTTAGCAACATGCAATTAATTAATCTGCTCAGTCTASATGGAGGAAATAGTGCGGACAAGTGACCCTTTCACTGCAAATCAAACAGACCTGATACAAATCATCTTTCTCATTTTCTTTTCTTCCTTGRCTAAATTAGCCGCTTACTCTGTTCTTATTAACTAAATAAAATGAACCACATTCCATACTCACTTTGTCGCTGACATTTGGCAAGAGCAGGGAAGGGAGGCAAATTTCTTTCCATTGGTTTTGTGGGACATAAATAGTRTCAAATAGCTTGTCTTGGAAGGAGCATCTTTCTCTGATGCTTCCCATGTTAGCCCCCATGAGAACTAGCAGAACAAGACTCAAATTGCATGTGATTTGAACAGGTTTTTACAGCTATTTTGTAATCAAGTTAATTAAAACAACTATGACCAGGATTAAAAATAATAAAATAAAATAAAATAAAATAAAATAAAATAAAATAAAATAAAATAAAATAAAATAAAANTAAAATAAAATAAAATAAAATAAAATAAAATAAAATAAAATAAAATAAAATAAAATAAAATAAAATAAAATAAAATAAAATAAAATAAAATAAAAAATAAAAAATAAAATAAAAAATAAAATAAAATAAAATATAAAATAAAATAAAATAAAAAATAAAATAAAATATAAAATAAAATAAAATAAAATAAAGCTCACGGTTGG